GTGTGTAAATTAGAAATTTGCACATGGCTTCCTCATGGAGGAAGCTTTAAGAGCGAAATAAGAATATGCAAATTTCTAATTTGAATACTTTCAAGAAACATCGTAGTAAAGTTAAATTTCTCTCTTATAGCTTCCTCTATGAGGAAGCCATAACAATGGAAGCAATGTGCAAATTTCTAATTTGCCTACTTTAATGATGAGGAAGAAATGTGCAAATTTCCAATTGCACGCTTCAATGCTGAAGAAGCAATGTGCAAATTTCTAATTTGCACACTTTCAAGAAACATCGAAAAAAATTAGATTTCGCTCATAAAGCTTCCTCCATGAGGAAGCCATGTGCAAATTTCTAATTTGCACACTTTACTTTACTTTACTTTTTTTCTAATTATTATATTATATTGTTCTTCAGTTTTTTTTGGTATAAAATTGGAGTTTCCCGGGATCATCAATGCATATACTGTAATTGTACGCAAGCATTTTTGATTCCATGCATTCAATACGACGAAAGGTTCGTATTACGAAAATGGTAATTCTGTCGGTAATACAGACCTGCTACGGGATCCTCTTAATGTTATAAATGCTATTTATGATGTCTACGTAATCAACGGAGTTTAGTAAAATTATATATCATGTTATGATTTTTATTACAACAAACGTATTTTCAGAAGTCAAAAGTGAATTTTTTTCCGCCTCGAAAGTTTTTAATATTTTAAATATTATTGTTTCTTAAAATCTCGAGATAAGTTATTCCAAAGAGTAATGCATGCTGAACACGAATCTAGTGAAGTTTTTTCAGTTTTCTTTATTTATAATATTATATAAGCCACTAAACTTGAAGTCTGTGTCCGGGGTGAAGTCGTCATCAAGCCACCGGCGTGAAGTCGTCACGGTTACGACTAAAATCGACTATTGCCATTGCGTCGAGAAAGAGAGGCCCCCCCAAAAAATGTCACGCAATTACAACCGCAGCCTTCAACGAGCAGTGGGCGGAAATCGAAGTCAAGGAAGTAGGAGTGGTCCGATTCCGACAGTGATGACAAAACAGAAAAATGATTTTCTTCTAATTATTTTCATTGTATTTTTAATTAATGTTAATTAATGTAAATGTTTAAATTTTTCTATTAAAAAATAATTAATAAAATGTATTCTATCGTATTTCATGATTGAAATTATATAGTTTCATTTAAAATCTAGTCCGAGAATGGAGTGACGACTTCGCCCCATAGGGGTGACGACTCCGCCCCGGAAATTTTGACATTTCAATTTTTGCACCTTTGTCATTTTTACTCTATACCGATTGAACAAAGCGATGTAGACCAAAAATACATAGAAAACATTATAGCCAAGGATTCACTTTTTACAACGGTACACCACATTTCACTAAAATTATGTATTTTGTTGTTAAAAACCGGCATCGAAAAAAAGGTGACGACTTCGCCCCGGTCTCCCCTACTATCTAACAATGTATTTTCCACTATAAATAGATTTCACTCCAAGGGCAATAAATTCACGGTGGAATCAACAGATGATGCCTATTCATTTAGCAGAAACTTCCGCTATCTCATATTAGGAGCCTATCTCATAATGGGGGATTTTCCTCTAACAAGGGAACTGCAAGAAGTGATCCCTCACCAATTTTAATGAATAAGGGTTCTTTCGAAAGGTCATATCCAAGTATTAAACCCTACGCAGGCTTTCCCCTCGGAAACTTTTTGTTCCAAAGTTATACGCAGAAAATACCCAGGTAGAACATAAAACTCATAATGACATCATTATGACATCACTTAAAAGTCATTTTGGAAAAATCATAATGATCTCATTTGATACATTTTTGGCTATGTTTTGGTGACTTATTTATGATATCATAGTGACTTTAATATGACCTCCAAATAGAAGAATATTATCACAAATTGATTGATATACGAAATTTATTTGCATTATACATATTATTAGCGAGTATACATATTATTATTATAAATAACTAATAATAAACATTATTGCACACAAAATGTAGTACTTTAAGAGGTACTGTGTTAATAATGTAAAAATTAAAATTAAATATTTATTTTTAATGGGAAAGCAACTTAAAAAAACTGCGCGTGCATAACAGAAAATGATTTAAAAAAAATAGAAGTAGTTCAAAAGAGAAATTCCAATGACGTCGGAAGCTGGGTATAGAAGTGGAAAAGAAAGGAGCGATGGAAGAGGGAGGGATATGGTTAGGGGGAGGGACGAAGGGAGGGGGGAAAAGTGTGTTAAGGTTGCATACAGCCAGGTCGTGGTAGGAGGGGTATGGAACTGGATATGGAAAGGGTTCGGGAACGCTCCCTATAAAAGCGCCGGTGTATTCTCTAAAAGAGTAATAAACACAACTACTACTACTACTACTACAAAAGAGAAATTCTGACAGTCATATTAGAATAATATAAGTACATCATGTTAATATAAAAATTAACAAATTCTTCTCTAATTATCTCTTTTAACTCTCTTTTAACTATAATGTAAAAGTACCAATGTTTGAATATGTACTTAAAATCTATGATTCTTTGTGTCCTCTTTAAATCATTTTTCAATCATTTTTGTTTGGGTAACTTTTAAGTGGTGAATTAAATCATGATGACGTCATTATGACGTCATTATGACGTCATCATGAGTTTTATGTTCTACCTGGGATATAGCTCCAGTAACAGTCTAATATTCGACTGTATTTTAGCTAAAAATTATCCGTGTATAACTATGGAACAAAAAGTTTCCGAAAGAAAAGCCTACTTGGGTTTCATACTTGGATATGACCTTTTGAAAGAACCCTTACTCATTAAGATCGGTGAAGGGTCACTTCTTGCAGTTCCCTTTTATGTGTAATTTGGTGAAGCAGTTTTTGCGTACTTTCTTCTGTTTAAAATTGCAATATGTGACTTGATAAACGTCATTTACATATTTTTTGCCGTTTAAAAATAATCTTTCTAAATACCAAAAAATGTATAAAACTAATGTATGTCAAGTCATATGTTGTGATTTTAAATGAAAAGTAGCATTTAAAAAGTACTTCATCAAATTACACATATACATATGTGTATAAAAGTAACACACTTAGATTTCCAATGTGTACTGTATTGAATCTGATACTATAAAGATTTTCTTGTTTAAAATTGAGCTGGGTCGCGTTGTATACCTGACATTCCCTACTAATTTTCCTGCCTGTACAGACCACCCCCCACCTTTTCCCCTTGGTTAGAAAAATCTGTCCCAATACTTTCTGGACAGACCATGTACATACATTCACATTCATATGTTTAAGTTGGCAATTCTAGCCTTTACTTTCTTTGTTCTTATATTATTCCTTCTTCTTTTGTGTATCTATTGAACGGTATTCATAGTCAAATCTTGTATTCAAGACCGTCCTAAGATCATCTTTAGATACTCCGTAGCCAATAAAATGGTCCATACAACATTTTATAAATGTCATCAAGACGATGTTAAATATAAGATCTGAGATCTGACTGTGAATACTGTTCGTCAATAAAGTTGTATTGACCATCAACATCTTCTGCTAACAAGATTTGGATGAAATGTAGCAAATTATAATCAATGCATGAACTTGGTACTTTTTTTCAGATAAATTGTTGATTCTCTCTCTCTTTCTTTCTATCTTTCTTTCTCATTGTTTCATCTCTTTCTTCAAGCTTCATATATGTATTTATTATTTACGTGGGTAATAATATATGGTTTCTCAATTTTATTAGTTTCCTAAGGAAAAATGAAAAGTCAAGGTGATGTCAATTTGATGTCATATTGACCAAAATATGACATCAAATTGACATCATCTTGACTTTTCATTTTCATTGGGTTGTTTGAGTAGGTAGGAGGGTGGTATTGAGTAATACTGGATTATTCTGCGTTTTAAGATTAATGTATTAAATCGGTGCATTAATTTATTATTCAGGAATAACAGGTTTTTCTATTTTTATAGTTGACTTAATATATAAATTATTAATGCATATTATAAAAAATTTTGTAATTCTTATATTATGTAACTAAATAAATAAATTCATAGAAGTTGTTTTGTTACATAGTAAATAATAATAAACTCTTATAGATTTAGAATAATTATTATTCTTAAAAATTTTTACTGATATATTTTTATATATATACTGTTTATTACAGAATTTCCACAATCTGGATTTACTGGAACATGTACGTTTAAGAAAGTTTTAAGATATTTACAAAATTGGAAAGGCACATGCGTACAACATAAATTAACTAATGTTAATCCATATTTATTCACTGTGACATACACTAATTTCACACTTATTAAATCCCTGCCGTTATTTAATGACACATTTATTACAAAACAGGTAAATTTTATTAATAAATTTGTGTAAAAATAAAACAATGTCAAAAACAATAAAGAAACTTTACATACACATGCACGTGCACGCGCATGCATATACATACAATTTTATAAATTAATATAGAATTATTTTATATAAATTACAAATAGAAAAGTAGCAAATACAGCAATAATAATGATAATATACAATCAATTATACGTTTTCTTAAAAACAACAAATAATATATTTTTTACAATAATATATTATATAGAGGAAATGTAGCATTATGAGACACTGGGCATAATGAGACATTGACATTTTCTCTCCAATTAATAACACTGCAGAACTGGCAATAATATAGAGAATAGTAATACTATACATATACAGGGTGAGTCATAACATTTGTACCAGAGCTCGTGAGAAGGTAGAACGGATCGAGATGAACAGAAAAGTCCTGAACCATTTGCAATTTTCGCAATAGTTAACGAGTAATAAATTATCGAAAATCGTCGTCTTTGCCCTGCCCACTGTCCAATTCGAGCGCGTGACGAGATGTGACCGCACGGCGATCGATATTGCCAGGCGAGGGGTGGGGACGCGAGACGCGGGAGCGGCGACGTAAGCT